GGGCAGAGTACAGAGCACGGTGCCTCCCACAGGGCTGGGCTGCAGCTGCCACTTGCTCTAGTCATGTTCTGCCTGCCTCCGCTCTCTCCTGCACGCCCGGGTTTCTCCTGCAGGACTGGCTGTGCGCAGGCTCCCTGGCTGGCCAGCCCTGCACTGCAAACGCCAGCCTCTGCGCCCACCAAGCCGCCTCCCTTCGGGAGCCTGGGTCAGGAACCCCTGGGCCTTCCTGCTTTCGCACCTCTTATGGCACACCACCGGGACAGAGAAGTGGCCTGTCCTCACCTTGGGGCATGCAGCCCTGAAAGGCCCTGCTCAGGCCCAGGGTGCTCTGGCAGCTGCGACATTGCTGCTGGGGTCCAGCAGAGGCCAAGGACAGTGTCCAGGTGAGCAGATTTCAAGCAGTGTTGGGGACATAATGCTCAGGGCCGATCCTTGCTCAGTCTTCTGAGCCACAACCTGTAAAAGTCTGATACGACCCCTCTCGCCCTGGGAAAACTTTAGGACCAAGATGAATTGGGGAAGAGGGTGAATGGTGTTGGCAGATCCAAGTTCCTTTTCACAATGGGTCCATGCCCTGTGTGTAGGGTGTGTGCTGGGCCCACAGCTGCGGACACTGTGGAGGAGCAGCCCGCTTGGGTCCTGTATGTCCTCTCCATTTTTTTCTGTCTCTGTCCCTCCAAAAATGAAGACACACGCAAATTGCTTAGGACAGTACTTGGCACACATTACTGCCTGCATTTCACAGGGGTTAGTGGGGGCACCCATGGTACCTCCTCAAGGCCCCAATCACATTGTGTTTTATCATCATCCACATAAGTCTGGAACGGATGGCCTTGCTCAACAGCACTAGGCAAGTGAACGTGAGTGGAGGTCAGCCTGCTCGCTGAGTGCTTGTAGCATATGTGCTGTGTCCACGCTGCCGTCCAGGCTGGGGTGTGGTGGTGAATAGAGCTGTCCAAATGTGTGCCCATCGTGCCAGGCTTCGCGGCGTGCACAGCACAGCAAGAGTCCCGCGGTCTGACGGGAAGAGGAACTTCACACATATCTATGGGGGGGCCACCAAGCCAGCCTGGCTCCTTCCAGCTCTGTCCCCACCTGGAAGAGGTCGCGGGTCCCAGGAAGCCCTGGCTCCCTCTCCTGGTCTGGGTCCATGTGCCTCTGACTTGACTTCCTCTGGCATCTCTGACCTGGTCCCAGGTCCTTTGCTTTGCATCCGGGTCTTTTCTCCACCACACCCTTGGCATCAACACTGCCTCTCCTTTGCTCCTCATGTCTACTCTCACTAGAAATGCCTTTTGGGCCTTGTCACTTTTGTGCTACAGCCTTCCTGGCCAGCCAGAGCCCCAGGGGGCTAAGGGTTCAAACAGTGACAGGATCTGCACTGCCTGTCTGTCTGTTGTGAATGAGCTTTGTGCTGTTAAGGAACTGAGGTGGGAGGGGAAAGGCAAGGACTCCTTCAGGCCAGTCACCCGCCGCCCTGGCCCTGTTGCCTGTAGCTCCAGCTTGGGCTGCTAGCCCCTCAAGACCAATGGTGAGGGGTGTCCCTGCAGCAGGAGCCTCTCTCCTTCCAGACTGCTCCCTGGGTTCAGGGGCACAGCCTGATCGAGCCCTGACTCTGGTCTCCACCCACTCACCCAGAGGAAAGGCCTTTCCTGCATTTGTCAGGACTGGAGGAAGCCAACCAGAGGCTGCTTTTCTGCTCTCTCTTCTTGATCTTGTCCCCATAAGTCCCTTCTCTGGACAGCCAGACTGTGAGGGCAGCATCTTTCCTTTGCGTCCCCACCAGTGAGTCCAGCGGCTGTCCCCTGAGGACACTGAGGTGGGAACAGAGGAGGGACCACAGACCAGCATCGAGTGTCAGCTGTCTGAGGCTGGGGAGCCTTAAGGTAGCACTCACCAGGAGAAGGAACAGCAGTGAGTGGAGACCCGAGCAGCTCCTCGTGGGGAGTAAGACATCCTGAGTGGGCTATGAATTATAAGCAAACTGTTGCTTGAACAGTCACATTTGGAGGCAGCAAATCTTTTTTTCCTGCTGTTTTCTGTATTTTCTTTTTGTGAACGAAGTTCAGTGTGTGCTTTCTTATCAAGAGATAAATCCATCCATCCATCCATCCATCCATCCATCCATCCATCCATCCATCCATCCATCCATTTCCCCGTCTCCCTACCTCTTACACATACCCACTCACCTACCCACACACTCATCCATCTATCTATTCATCCTTCCATCCGCCCGCCCTGGGTGCTGGGTTCTAGAGATAGTGAATATATAGAGAGAAGTATCTAGAATAGTGAAAACATCTCCTGTACTTAGGACGCTCAGAGTTCGGGGAGGGGATGCACATGAGAGCTGACAGTGTGTAGTTTGCCATGGCAACAGGTGCTCCGTGGTGAGTGGGGCAGCGGGAAGGCCGTCCACGCAGGCAGGGCATCACTCACACCGGTTCCCTGGAACTCGAACGTGCGCACCCTTCCCGCAGGCACTGTGGGAACCTGAGGGCTTCCCTGGCCTTTCTGAGTCACATCCTGTGTTTTCTCTTCGTAGCAGGCCTCTCTGTATTCATACCCTTGTTAAGTACCTTAATCTATTGTGAATCAAGATGCCGGAGGGAAAAAGGAAACCCACGGGTGCTGGTCTGGGCACAGCTGGGCGGTGCTGCCTGGGTGTGGGTGTGCGCAGGTGCAGATGTGAGTGCAAGTGTCCCTGGCTGAGTAGCATCGGCTGTGAGTGGGTGGCTGGGGGACCCGTGAATGACTTAAGAAGAGAAATCCTCTGTCACCAAGGACTCTCAGCTTCGAGTTATCCTTTCAGAAAAAATAAAACCAAGCTCCCTCTCAGTGGCTTACATCCTCTTATACAACGTCTCCATTATCACTTTGTATCCCAGCACGTCCCCAGGGCTGGAGGGTGGGAGACACGGTTCTGTCCTGGTGTCCCTGCAGCGCCTACAGTGAATTCCAGGGGGTGGGAATAACTTCTCTGTGTCGGGACTGCAGGGTCCCAGAAAAGGTGCCCAGGTGTTGACACTTCTGCTTCCCCTTGGCCTGAGGCTCTTGTTTAAGTTGGCAGTAGCTGGTCACCCCCGGCACCCTCCTGGCACCACTGAGACATCTCCTGTCTGTCTTCTATACGCTTCTTACACCGGCAGGATGGAGAGGTGCCAGGAACGCGGGCCTCAGTGGCACGCATGGCCCTGCCCGCCGCAGGTATGCGGGCTGAAGCAGACAGGACCGGCTCTGCAGGAATGCCCAGCGCACAGAGACGCGGGAGGCGGCAGCCCTGCCTGCAGTGCGGCGCCACTCTGGGCGCGCATGGTGGAGCAGGAGTTTCTGAGCTGCCTCTCCGCTCCCTTGGCCCACCCGACTCAGCTGCGGACGACAGTTCCTTTCCCCCAAGCTCTTGTCTGGGGCTCTGTTTTGGGAGTGCCCAGCCTATGTGAGGATAGAAATTGCATGCTGAGAACAAGCATGGAGGTTTGGGGTGCCAGGGGAATTCTAGAGGTGGGGTGGGGAGGCTGGGAGGCAGCAAGGGTTCTTCCTGAAGCCCAGGGGTCTTATTTGATCTTCCCAGAGCCCTGTGAGGCCAACACTCTCCTATTTACATCTGGTGGCTTTGTTTTCTGACATTGTTGGCAGGCACCTGGCTGCTGCCGTGGGCAGAGCCCTCCCTCTGACCCCTCTGGCTGATGGTTGTTTGCACAGCAGCCACTGTGCCGGCCACGCGCCTGCCTCCTCCCCGCCCTCCTCTTCCTGTCTCCCCTTCTTGCTCCGTGACACCCAGTGGGAGAGGGGGATGGCATGAGGAGTATCACCTGAGAACAGGGCTGCCCTCCTCCCCACAGGGGCTCTGCTGGGCCCCTGAGAAGACAGGTGCTGGTTTTCTGGCTAATCAGGATCAGGGCTCTCAGGCCTGGTCAGGAGGGTGACCGGCAGGCCTGTCCCCGCCTGGAGTGCACCGCATGGTGCAGTCTTCTCACCGCTCTTCCAGCTTCCCCCTCACAGCCCTGCTCTCGAGAGCTCCAGGGCGCCTGTGTCTCCTCTTGGACCTGCTGTGCTGTGGACAGCTAAGCAGAGGGGACGCTCTCAGGTGCGCACAGTTGCAAATCCCAAAAGTGTCCCCTGACTGGCAGCAATGCCACTGCAGATCAGGCTTGTGGTGCCTGGAATCTCCATGGCCACAGCCTCCCTGCGCCGCTCGGGGACCGGGGCAGCCTTCCTAAGGCAAGAGTGCGATGTCCGGGTGCAGATCCTCCAGGGGAGCCCTTCCCCTAACGCTGCCTATGGCCCTTCTCCTTAGCATGGCCCATGTGGCTCAGTCCCTGCCTCCTTCTCGACCCACTCTCCCTACATTCAGACGCCTCGAACTGTTCTCCGTCCTTCTTACCCAGGGGTTGGCCAGCTGTGGCCCACAGGCTGAATCCAGCCCACTGCCTGTTTTTGTGAATGAAGGTTTATTGGCACAACCCTTGTCTGTATCTGCTATGGCTCCTTTATACTATAACAGTGGGGTCGAGCAGTTGCAAAGAGACCGCAAGCCCCACAAGGCCTAAAATCCTCACTTTTGGTCCTTTATAGGAAATCCTGGCATACCCTGCCCCACCTGGTCCTGCTCCTTTGCACAGTCATGCCTTTGCCTAATGCTGAGCTCTCCTTATAAAGCTCCCCCACTTTTATCCCATAACCCATCTAGACTGAGCTTTCTGCCCACCTTCCCTTCCCGCGTTGTTACCTGAGCAGGACGTCCCACTCCAGTCTTGCCAGGGCTTGTGTGCAAGACCCCACCACAGTTTTCCAGTTGATGTTCAGATCCACCCCCGACTCTAGTTCCTGAAGCAGGGCTGGGTCTTATTCTACTCAGTTCCTGCCTGGGATTTGAATGCACAGACACTGGGCACCACTTGGTAGTGTTAGCATCCTGGGTCACTTCAGCCCTCTTCTGGCTTCTCTGTCTCTCTGGAAATGCGCCAGTGGGAAAGGTTCCACTGCCTTTGTCTTTGCAGATCTCCAACCTCTACCTGTATGACAGTGTCCTGATGCTGGCCAACGCCTTCCACCGGAAGCTGGAGGACCGGAAGTGGCACAGCATGGCGAGCCTCAACTGCATCCGCAAATCCACCAAGCCATGGAATGGAGGGAGGTCCATGTTGGACACGATCAAGAAGGTCTGTGTGAGGGGAGCCCTCCTGGGCCCCTCCTCACGCCCCTCCCACCCCCGCCTCCTCCAGCAGCTGGCCTGAAGTGGAGCTCCTTGTGTGGCTGCCCAGCAGGCTCCCAGGCCTGTCTTCTTGCCGCTCTTCCTGTCCCAGGATTTGAGGGAAGAGTGAGCTAGGATTCATAGCTCTGTGTTATAGTCTGTTTTCATGTAAGGAGATTGACTTCAGAGAGGTGAAGTAGCTCGCCCGAGGTCCCCCCTTACCCATGGTTCCACTTGCAGCAGTTTCCGTTACCCTTGGTCAATGATGGTTGGAAAATATCAAATGGAAAGTTCCAGAAATAATTCATCGTTTTTAAATGGCACATCATTCTGAGCACCTGCTTCATCTTGTCACATAGGAATTGCACCGTCTCCCAGTGTCACAGGAAAAGGAGGTGCTTGCAGCACAGTAAGATATTTCCAGAGAGAGACCACATTTATGTAACTTTTATTGCTGTATATTGTTATAATTGTTCTATTTTGTTGTTATTGTTGGTAGTCTCTTACTGTGACTAATTTATACATTAAAATTTATCATAGGTATGGGGATGTATAGGAAAAAAACATAGTATATTAGGGTTTGGTACTACCCATGATTTTGGGCGTCTACTGGGGGTCTTGGACTGTATCCCCTGTGGATAAAGGGGGGCTGCTGTGAGTAAAAAAATGGAAGCAACTGCCCAGCTCATATCTGGCACTGTCTGTAAGAAAGGCTGTCTTAGTTGGCAGTAGATGTGCCAATCAGCCAAGATCTCATCTGTTTGTGTGTGCACACATATGCATGCAGGTGTGTATGGGCACATGTGTGTACATGCATGCGTGCACACGTGCATGGGTTCATCAGGGTGTGTTGTGTACATGCATGTGTGTGTACACATGTAGGGGTGTCCATCTGGTGTGTGCACGAGTGTGTGTGTGCAGGCACTCTACTTGTGCTGGCATGCTGAGCAGGACACCAAGTTAGAAGGCTGGATTTAAAGTGAATTGGGTAATCCACAGAAGATTTGTTAGAGTGAATTGGCTTTTAGAGGCTTCAAAATAGCATTTAAGGAAATCTACAGTGCTGGGAGTCTTAGTCCCAGTAAACTGTGTGGTTTCAGTGGCAGCGAGCATACTCTGGCGTGGTTTACATTTAGCGCAGCCCAGGCCAGAGCGGGGGGCCCTGTTGGGCCCACTCAGTCTCTGGGACTGTTCCATCTCACAGTCTATGGGAGATCAAGGCTGGATGAGACCCGTCCCAGGCTTGTAGCAAGAATGGGCTTCCCCCAGGTTAGCTCAGCCTCTCTGCACCTGCTCCTACGGAGCCCACTGAACCCTGGAGAGGCCTGGGCATACGCACCCACCACACCCAGTCCTGCCAGTCACCGTGCTTTGTGCCCAGTTTCTCCGAGGTACCTGCAGGATCTAACAAACTCTAGGCTGAAGCTGGGAGAGAGGAGATTAGTTGCCTGAGGTGGCACAGGTGACAAAGCCAGGACTGGAGCTGGGTTGGCCTCTAGTTCTCATGCTTGCTGCCCTGCAGCCTCCACCCCTGGCTGCCAGGCTCTTGTTGACCTTTGGCTTCCTGCTTGGCTCAGCTGAGGTGAGCCCCTGGGGCAGGTTGCAAGGGTAGACTGTAAGCTCCAGGGGGCGGGACCGAAGCGGTCACTCTAATCCCATGCTAGCACAGTGTGTGGCACAAGGCCTGTCCTTTCATCGTATTGACTGCATCAGTGACAGGTGCAGGGTTAGGGATTTTCCCTGTGAGCAAGGCCCTGGGAAGCGTGGACCATACTTCAGGCCCTAGGACTGCAGCGACCCTGTCATTATCGTGTGCCCACTGCTCCCCGGGCCTTGCCCTTCACTTCCCGGTGACCGCCACCTCGCCCTGGGATCCCATCCCCTCGCCCGTATCTGCCTAACCTCCAGTGGCTGGCCCTTCTCTCTGCAGGGCCACATCACCGGTCTCACCGGAGTGATGGAGTTTCGGGAGGACAGCGCAAATCCCTACGTCCAGTTTGAAATCCTTGGCACAACCTACAGTGAGACCTTTGGCAAAGACATGCGAAAGGTGAGTCTCTGGGAGTCCACTGCCCCTCCTCCAACTGCATTCCCCCTCTTCTTGCTGCAGTGGCTCAGGTCCCCCCACCTCTCGGCCCCTCCCCAGCAGGCCCTGCCCCCAGTCTCTGCTGCTGTTGCCCTCGATGCTGCCAACGGAAAGTGCCCAGGTGCAGCTCATGCGGTCCCTGAGCACAGTGGGGTCTGGAGGGCCAGCCTTGCAGCCCTGGGCCAGCCTGGAAGGGGCAACACGTTTTCCAGGGCGGCTGAGATCAGCCCAACAGCAGGGCAGGCGTGACTGTGGCTAAGGCAGGAGACGGAGGTACAGCCAGAGTGTTCTCCACGTTTGGGCGTGGACAGGGCCAGGGGCGGCCAAGGGCGGTGGAGGAGGGTGAGGAGTGAGTGTGCTGGAGCCCGCTGAAGGGAGAGGCAGGGGCACATGGGCTTCATAACTCAGGGGTTCAGCTGTTTTACTTGGTGCTCATGCAAGTGGCAGGCTTGGGGTTTCCAGTGACCCTTTTCTTCTCGTGTGGGGATTTTCAGGATTGAGGATCGTGGCTGGCCCTTACCCATGGTTGGAATCTCCCTCATGATGTAAAGGAGGCTAGTCAGTCAGGATAGCAGTAAGCCGTGGGGGGCAGGTGTGCACTGGGGCACAGGCCCATACAGCCACACAGTCACACACACAGTCACACACAGTCACACACAGTCATACATAGTCACACACACATAGCCACACACAGATTCACGCACACAGTCATACACATGCACACAGTCTCACACACACACACAATCACACACACACAGTTACACACATGTGGCCATACAGTCACTCACAGCCACACACACAGCCACACACACAGCAACACACAGCCACACACAGTACACCATCACACACATAGTCACACACACAGTCACACACACACACAGCCACACAGTCATACACACACACATGCACAGCCGCACACAGTCACACACAATCACACTAATTTCTATGCACTTGAGGGAAGGTCGTCTCCACTAAGGGCAGTGCCAGGGGACAAGAGGCGTGGTGAGCTCTCAGCTGGGCGAGGTAAAGCCTGGGCAGAGTGCCCTCCAGCTGGCATCTGCCGCTGGCTGGGGACAGTGGAGGGGTGGAAAGGGTTAATGATGTTGGGGTGCTGAGAATCTAGGTGAAGGCATTCTTGGGCTATGCTCCTTGAGGACCAGGCGGGAGGACATGTGTGTGGAGTCCTGCAGGGTGTGAGCGCTGTGAGCACGAGGCAGCCGTCACCCGTCACGGCATGGGAGGAGGCTGTTTCCGGGGAAGCTGAGGGTCCATGTGTGAGGAGGGACTTAGTCCGTCTTGTGACAGGAGGTGAGTGTCATGGGTTGGCTGGAAACATAACAGAAGGTCCAGCAATTTGTTGAGATGCAATGGTGACACATGGTTCATTGACATTTGGAGCTCAAGGCTTGTTTGTGGCATCACAGACGGGGTGGAAGGCTACAGTGTGACACCCTGGTGGGCCAGGGTATGACTGTAATGCGTAGGGTGTCAGGGATGTCCGGGAACCCAAAGCTGTGAGGCTTGGTGGAGGGCTGGGGACGGGTGGTCAGCACTGGTCTGGGGCATTTGTGACCACAGTAGAAACCGACTTGGTTGGGAATCCCTCCTGTAAGGGGAAACCAGGACCGGGAGCCCTTCAGTCACCCATCCAGTGTAGCTCCCACAGAAGTGACCACTCACGTATGCCACGGGCCTTGCCTTCATCCCTCAGTGTTCCCCGAGTTAATGACAGTCAGGCTCTGTGTGCTCCCTCCTTTGCCACCCACCCCGTCTTTCAGCTCCGCGCTCAGCACGGTCCCGCAGTGGGTGGGAATATTGGCTGGGGGGGGGTCTGCCTCATCGTGGGCAGGGACGGCCACGCTGGCCACTGGGCCTGAGAGAGCGGGGCAGCACCCTCACTGCCCAGGTCCTGGGCTCCTGCGCTCCTGCATTGCCATGGCAACACTCCCGCCCCTGCAGCCAATGGGAGCTGGCGTCGCAGCCTAAGGAGCTGCTGAGCAGGAAGCCTGAATGTAATTGAGTTGGAGAGAAGCTGATTTTCAAGTGGGCTTTATTTTAAAACGTATTCTTTTGTCATTTTAAAATCTGCCCTTAATAAGTGCACATCCCAGTTGTTATCTGCCCGCCTGGCAGCTTATCGCTGTTAGAGAGTTATCCGGAAAGCAGGAATGGGTTTACCACAGCAAATGCTTGTCATTCAGACCCGCGTGCCTGAACAGGTCTGGGAGGTTTCAGGACGGGCCAGAGGGCCTGGCGGAGTGAGTGCGGCTGTAGGTCATCATTTAAAGACTGGGTGGGCTTCTTGGTGGGAGGTGGGGCTGTGAGGCATAGGGCTGGGAAATCGGAGTGGCATAAAAGTAAAGTTGGGGTGGGCAGCAGATCTGAGGGTAGGTCAGGGTCCTGGGGCGCTCAAAGGCAGTGCAAAGATCAGTCCATCTAAGGAGGGGCCACCCTGAGGAGCCCCCTCAACTGCATCTCCTGTGGTCCTGCCCAGAGCTAGGAGAGGAGCCAGCTGCACTGACTGCTGGGTGCTGTCACGGGAGGGACCGTGTCGGTGTCCCTGCAGAGATGACGTGTGTATCCTAATCTTTATTTATCACCTGTCTGTGGCTGTCAGTCTATCTATCTGTCTGTCTATCATCTATCTACATACTTATGTTAATTTAAAAATAGCTACAGCAGCCAAACTGATGCAGACACAAAACCCCAAACCAAGTAGTTTCTTTAAGATTTAAACCAAGAATGCTCATTTAAATTAGAGAGCAAATGGATGTTTTCTCAAAGTAACTATTCTGGAGGGAAATCTTAGGGAGGCTGAGTCACTCAGATGTTTTAGATTAAGTGGCACCAAGAGCCGGTGATTACTCAGCCCTCTCGGAGGATGGAAGAGGTGGGTGATCACCTTTCCCTGCAGGGTGCTGGACAAATGCTAATTAAGTTATCTCACCCAGGAAGTATGTTGAGGGGGTGCTGGCAGGCCTGTGCCACCAGCCCGCTATGTAACTCTGGGCACAGCACTGGTCATCCCATGTCCTGCTTGGAGCCGTCCAGCCAGGGCGATCACCCCTCAGCCATAAGGGCAGGCTTGGCCAAGTCCAGTGCTGCTCCTATGGGATTTGCCCTGGGGTGCATGCTCTCCTGTTGGGTCTCACACATTTCTACCCAGCCTCCTCTTTGTTCAGTCAGAAATCTCCCAAGGGGCAGCTCCACTGGGGAAACTAAGGCCCCAAGACTGCAAAGACTTGATTATGTCACACCAAGAAGTGTGTGGCTGGGCTGGGCTGGAAGGACATATGCTTGGGTGGGTGGAGGACTCGTAACATCCTTCCTGAACTCCCTCATGCCCCGTGCCCCTCCGCCCCCTTTCACTCTGCCCTCCTGCCTCCACTCCTCAGCCAGCATCATGGTCCCACAGTCTCTTCCCATTGGTCCGGGGCCTGCTGACTTGATGTTTCACCAGTGCCCTGGGGTCAGCCTCCGGGTTCCAGTGATTACCCAGGGGACTGGGAGGGCTTCCGTCTCCTTTATCAGTTTAGGATGCTTCTGTTTTCTCCGTCGATTTTGATCCTTCATGAAAGCTGGCTTTGCGTGGGTGCAGGTGCTCCCTTGGTGCCATGCCCTGGGGAGGGCCCTGTGCTGCTGGTAATTGAGAGTCACAATTGCTCCTCATGCAGGGCCGTCACACCTTGGGCCCAGCCCTCCCTGGCTCAGAAGCGCGCACGTCACTCGCACTCCTGCCCAGGTCTGCCACACGCTTACAAAGTGCCCCGCGTTCTCAGGGCTCAGAAGTTCTAAGCAGCGAGCCAGCGGGCAGACAGGCGGGCTCTCGCAACGGGGCGGGAGCTGCGTCTCGGCACAGGCGGACCCCTCACCTGCGCGGGCGCCGGCCGGCCCAGAGGCTGCAGCACTGAGGGCGGGAGGGCCTGGTGGGGCTCGGAGGGCAGCCTGCGGCCTCTCTCGGCTGCTGCCGAGACGCCACTGCACCCGAGTCCCAGAGGGAAACGCGCCCCAGCCCCTGCGGGGTTAGCATTCTTGCAGCCTATTTCCCAGGAAGAACGGCACCTTCCCAAACTCGTGCAGAACAGCTTTGAACAGAGCTGAGAACCAAAGCAGCCCCGCTGCTCCGCCTGAGTTCATAAAGGGGTCAGGAAGAGAGACAATTACAGTTACGTAACATCGCGTTTTAAATAGCCCTTATGGCCACATTTTTGGAGATAGTGCCAGTCATGCTCATTTAGGGAGAGTGTTTAGAAAGCACAGATAAGTGAGCACGAAGAACCCAGCTGTGACTCCGGGAGGGGCGCAAGCGTGCCGGGATGCCGGGCGTTTCCTTCCTGGGCTTTTCCTGCTTTCCCTCCTCCACAGTGCGGGTAGAGGGAGCGGTGGGTGTACTTTTCAAATTGCTATTTATTGTCCATCCTGTGGCATCCTGACTTTCCTACTTAAAGCTATGTTGGGGGCGTTTTCTCATTTCCGTGTTCTTTTTCACTGTGGTTTCTAGTGGGAACATGTTACTCAGCCACAGCCGCTCACTGTTTTATCTTCTTATGCGGTGACTAGTTAGGCATTTTCACCGTGTTATTTAGAGTAGGATTGTGATCGATACCCAGAATATACAGTTTTATTACACCTGTATTTGTTTCCATGTATTTTAAAGAAGTGAAATTGCCAAACCTAGGGTAATATTTTTTTAAGGCTCTTTCTGTACTTGATACATATTTTCAAGTTATAGAAAGATTTAATGATTTTCACATCCACCAGTAGTATTTGGAAGTTTCTGTTATACCCTATGCTCAAAAAATTGAGTAATATATATACTGAACATTTTTACTAATTTGGCAGCTATGTGAAAAAAGAATGTTGCTAAATTTGCATTTCTTATGGGATTATATATTTAAAAATATAATCATTGGTCATTTGAATTTCATATTTTGTATATTATCCATCAGGTCCTTTGCTCTTTT